TAAGTAGTAGGATTAACGTATGTTAGCGAACACATCAAATGCCTTAAAGATCTTCTTTAAGCGTAAATAAGAACATCTACCTATTTTCTCTAAATTTATAAAAATTTTATTTGTTAAAATCTTTTTAAATTAAGTTTTCTTAATTTCTTTAAGAAAAAATTAAGTGACGACTCTTTTCTAAGTATTTTTCAAATATTTTATACTTGGAACATTTCATTAAGTGATTTTTCTAAAAGATTAGTAAAATTACGGCATAATACACATATTAGTAAGCATAAGTGGGTGTACATAGGTCGTTCCGATTTGATTTTTCATTAAAAAAATCTAAATCAATTATATAGTTTTATTAAATCTGAATATCAAATCAAACCATATAAAGTCATCTTTTCGGTTTCGATTTTAGTCGGTTATTTCAATTTTCTACAACTACGGTATTTGAAAATGCGGTCAAATATTTTTCACTTACTTGTGTGATAAACTAAATTCAAAAACTATTAAGTGAATATAAATTTTCAAAAAGACTGTAAAATTTACATGAGTAAATTTTCTTTTTTTTAAATATCAACTTTCATTATGCTAAATTAATAAGATAAAGGCTAGAGGCAAACTGAATACAAAAAATATTTACAAAGTAAATTATTAACTTCGATTTTGAAAAGCTATCACAATATAATTGTAACTTCGAATTTTAACACAAAATAAAATATTTCAAAATTTGACAAGCTAAAATTTAAAATAAATTCTATAAACTTGGAAACTATATATTAACTAAAAATATATAAACAATGTAGATTATACGAAAAGAAATTGTTTTTATCTATAAATAAACTATATATATATATATATATATATATATATATATATATATATATATATATATATATATATATATATATATATAAATAGTCGGATTGACTTTTTTCTTCTAATACCAAATCAAACCAAGAATTGATTTTTTTTCAACCACCAAATCAACCAAACCAAACTACATATCGGTTTTTTTTACTTGATTTGATTTGTCGATTTAGTTTGACTTATACACCCCTAAGTATAAGTCAGTCACATAGTTAGTTAGGCATATAAGTAAGTTACATTAGTTAGTTATTAAGACACATAAATCAGACTTAAAAGAATTTAACGAGTCACGTTACATTAGTTAGTAATCACATTGGGGATGAAGGAGAGAAAAAATAAAAATTTTACATTAGTAATAAGTAGTAAGTGCTCACATTAGTTAGTATAAGTCACATTACACTAATTAATAGTCAAATTAGGAATAAAGAAGAAACAACTAAAAGTGTCAGCCAAACAAATAAAGAAAGTACTCATATTAGAAAAAGAAAGACAACCACAGTTCAGTTTTTAAGATAAACGTGAACAATTTCCTACAAATCACTATAAAAAGCAGATTCTATAGACAAAAAAATTAAAGATACAAGTGAAAATCAAAACTCAATAACATCTTTCTTACTAGCTAAGAATGAAAATATACGAAAAAATGGAACACATAATAAGATCTCGTAGATGAATATAGTAAAAGTGTGAGAACCTATGGCCGGATCTGAGTGAATCCACCAAGAATAACGGAGACGAGTGAGTAGTTTACGTCTGATGAACTAGGATTTTTGTTTGTTAGATGAACGAAAGTAACGAGTATAGGGGCCTTTTCTTTAGGATTTTAGAGAGTTTATTTATGGATAAATCGGGTAGGTTAAATGGGTTATGTGTAGGTTTTGAAATTTGGGTTAAAAAATTTGTCAACTCGGATTGTTGTGTAGGATTCCGCTACGTGTACATAATGAGTATTTGGTTAGTGGAAGGGAAAAAAGTGCACTGTTTATTGGAAGGCAAGAGCTCTGATGGACGAAAAGTATGACAGAGGACATTCACAAATCATTTTTGAAAATTTGAAGATATATTTGTCCTTTTATCCAAATTTGGAAATTGGGACAAAAACGTTGTTATGTCTTTCCATCTACATAACCCTTAGTTGAAAAAGTTTCTAAATACTTGTGTTGTTGCATGATAAACAAGAAATAACACTATTTTTGTAATCAAATTTATAAAGGTGGAACAACCAATTGACATGGACATTGAAGATTTACATGCTTGCAACACACTAGAAAAACTAATAGCATCATGACGTTCAATGAAATCCTAGCACTAACATTAGCAAACCCCACAAATAAAATAGGCATCAATAAGTAAAAGTGTGAGAACCTATGGCCGGATCTGAGTGAATCCACCAAGAATAACGGAGACGAGTGAGTAGTTTACGTCTGATGAACTAGGATTTTTGTTTGTTAGATGAACGAAAGTAACGAGTATAGGGGCCTTTTCTTTAGGATTTTAGAGAGTTTATTTATGGATAAATCGGGTAGGTTAAATGGGTTATGTGTAGGTTTTGAAATTTGGGTTAAAAAATTTGTCAACTCGGATTGTTGTGTAGGATTCCGCTACGTGTACATAATGAGTATTTGGTTAGTGGAAGGGAAAAAAGTGCACTGTTTATTGGAAGGCAAGAGCTCTAATGGACGAAAAGTATGACAGAGGACATTCACAAATCATTTTTGAAAATTTGAAGATATATTTGTCCTTTTATCCAATTTTGGAAATTGGGACAAAAACGTTGTTATGTCTTTCCATCTACATAACCCTTAGTTGAAAAAGTTTCTAAATACTTGTGTTGTTACGTGATAAACAAGAAATAACACTATTTTTGTAATCAAATTTATAAAGGTGGAACAACCAATTGACATGGACATTGAAGATTTACATGCTTGCAACACACTAGAAAAACTAATAGCATCATGACGTACAATGAAATCCTAGCACTAACATTAGCAAACCCCACAAATAAAATAGGCATCAATAAGGGTGTGGTTAATGGATTAGAATCATGATGAAGCTTATTAACGAAAACGATAATAGGTAGCTTGTTGCTCAAAGCATTCCGCGTTAGCAAAGTTTGGAAAAAAGTTGCACCTCAAAGGACATACTCTAGATAGTCTACCCTAATACAAGCATTATTAACCAAAACATCCTGCATGAGAAAGGACCACACCCAAAAACATGTAATTTGGACATTCACCCTAATTCAATCATTACTAAGAGAGATTATGTCTAAAACAAGGAAAATGGAAAAATAGAAGCATCTGCACTAGCAAAGTTCAAGAAGGGTCACGCCTCAAAAAATGTAATGTGAACAACTTGCCCTAATGTAAGCATTAGTAATTAAAGCTTTCCGCATAAACACAAGTATTGTAAAACCCACAAGTTATTTTAAAACCAACATACAAAACCACTTTTGAGACTAAAAACCCACACATTATTTTAAAACCAACATACAAGACCAAACATATCTTTCACACAAAATAATAGAAAATGCAAGTTTTATGTTCTAGTTTTGACTGGTAAAATTAACATCTTAGAAACATAATAAAATTTAGTAAAATAACAACCAAATCCTCCAAATAGATATTTTCCATCAACATCCATATATGACATACATATATGATATATGTATACCACTCACATCTTCTTCTATTTCTTCTTTTCAGGGGCAACATGGGGAAAACCATAAGGTGACACCATCGTCATCCTGCAAAACATAAATAATTTTTTAGTTTAGAAACAAGTTACGTAGAATTAGTAATGTAGATATTAATTATATTGGTACTCTTCGACCTTCGTAATGTGAAAAAGTGGAATATATAAGTATATAGTAGCAATATACTAAATAACAATTTGAGGATTCTATATAGTTTAATTAGTTGGTTTATTTTATTTTTCACCTAATTGATAAGGGTTATTCGAGAATTAAAAATCAATCCCGAAATGTTTAACAAGGTAGAAGGATAATACAAATACGTACGAAAAGAAGAAATATAATATATTATTACTATACCTTGGAAAGTTATAGTGAAAGGATTTAAGAATAATAATTAGTGTTCTATGGATTTTTCAAATTGACATATATTAGAAAGAACACTCAGAGTTTGATAATTAATAAAAAGACCGTTATAATAGACTAGAGGAAAGGAATCATGTTCTAGCTCTTTCAAAAAAGTTCTTAACAAATTTATTGTAACGACTTGTTTAGTCGTTTTGAGCAGCAGATTTTATTTCTGGAAAAACTTTCTTGGTCGACGGATCCCACGACGGACCGTCATGGGCACGACGGACCGTCGAGGGGGTCTCGTTCTAAAACACTTAGAATTCTGAAATTTGGGTGCTGAAATTGACTCTCTAAACTTCGTGACGGAAAGGCAGGACGGACCGTCGTGGTCACGACGGACCGTCACACATTTTCCACAGAAATTAACTCTCTGAACTTTGCGACGGACCTGCAGGACGGACCTTCACAGCCATGACGGACCGTCACAGGTTGCGTAACCCAGGCTGGGTCAGATTTCTATTAAAAGTTTTAAGGGGCGTTTTGGACTATTCCGGCTTATAATTATAAAGTTAGTGGTTTAATGTTAATAATTCAATTGCTTGGGGGTTAAAGGAGATAACCTTGAATTAATTAGTGGGTTACTTTTGT